TAGATACTCTAAATGTAAGAGCAAATATTCTCATTTCTTAAAGTAATTATAGTTCGGTTTTCTTTTTTTTTCCTTTGCTCCTGCAATATGTCTAAGATTCTTTAGAATGATGAAGCTTTCCAGTTATTAAGCAGTTTTGTTTGAAGTGCATGACCTAGGATTCTATTAATGATCAGTTCTGACCCCTACACCTCCCTATAGAGTCCTAGAGATAATAAGAAGAGCAGGGAATTATTGATTGAAACTAATGTGGTGTCCTTGTAGATCCTGAGTGTCTGTGTTAAACAAAATCAATCAATGCTAACTGAAAAGCATGTTAATCATAATGTATTAACAACTTATATACATTAACATCCTATAGAAACCAATATTGCTACAACGCTTGAAATGCAATTATATATTACTAAAACTGTAAATAGTAAAAAAGAAAAACAAAAACAAAAAACCAATCAAACCACACTTTGATTTGTAACAAAAGGTGTCTGAACACCTTGAATTTCCTTACCTGAGCTATACCTGTCCAAATTTAAGATTTTTGGATATTGGGATTGATCTTCTGGCATTTCTCATAGCACTTAGTGGACAAAAAAGTAACTGACATAAGAGTCTTCTAATCACAGAATTCAGGTAAACAAATTAATGATTGCCATCCTAATTTTCTCAGGCAAATAACCAAATTCTCTCATACCATTTCCCCTCTCATCAACGGTTTCTATTTTTGGAACAAAATTGCAATTTATTTCATTTACCTATAAATATATATTCTACATAAGTATGTGAATTATTAAACATTTAAAAGTTCTTTGCACACTTCTCAGTATACTGTCCTTGTATTCTAAGAAATGCTTTGGCATAACAAATCTTTTCAGATTTATACAATTCTTGTGAAAGAACATAAATCATGAGTGCATCTGTCCACAAATTTTTGTCAAAGACTTTTCCTCACTTGCTTTAAAATAAATTTAAATTAGCAAAGGTACTAAAAAAACCAAAGAACAATTGCTATCTTCGAATCTCTCACTGGTTCCAGCTTAAAAACTGATGAAGCTTAACTGACACACAGGGAAATTACACTGGTGATAAACCAGATGTTACATTGAAATAAAATATCTAATCAAACTAATGCAACTGAGGTCATTGCTATGGAATTTGATCTCAAAAATGGGACTAGGGAACACCAGTTGCAAATAAAAATAATATAATGAAAAGTGCAGGCAAACCACTGTCATAACATCACAAACCCTACATTCATGAATAAAAATTACATCATAACAAAACATACCAAGTATACATTATGACTCTCTGGGTGTAGAAATGAAGCAATCAACACTAAATCAAGCTTTAAATCAGGGTGAATATCGATGCCATTTTTTCAGAATACATTAGCAATCTGCCATAGTTAAAGACTGCTCAAAAAAATACAAATCAAATCAATCTCCTCCATCATATGGAAATATTTCAAGAAAATCTCTGTTCTTCATGTACTGCTCAGACCAAGTTCTAAACACTGTACTTCCATTGCTAAGAATTTCAGTTTTGTCTGTCTGACATTCACTGTGTTTCCTTTCTTAGCAAAACGCCTTCACTGATGCAGCAGTGGAAAGCAGAGTGGATTTTGATAATCAACTCAGGACTTACTCTAAGAGCAATGTTGACAAGTGCAATCTCACCCAATGTTTGTAAAGTTTAAGAGCCCTTAAATTACCTACTCCTTTTGCTGCAAGAATTGACACTTGGATTTCAAAGCTCCAGGAAATATACTACACAACTGAACATATTCTAAGGTACTTCTCTCCACTGAACATTGTAAAAATGGTAGCAAGGTACAACACAATCTATTTTAAGGTTGTAAAAATTACCAGCTTTGATACTGAATTCTTAAATCACTCTCTTGCTAGAAGATGCAACAAAATTGTTAGCTAATATTTTCTCACTATTGGATTAGCAGGACACACTTACTATGCCTGCTTCCTTCACATATGACTTTGCATTAAGGTCTAAGGTCCACCTTCACCATAGAAATAATTTCTTTAAAATCAAGACTATATAAGGAATGAAATGAAAAGAAACAAATTTTTGAGGGTTTTTTTGACAGCAAAAATAAATTGTCAAATAGCAATTATATACTAAACATCAACAGTAATACAGATGAAGAAAAACTTGCAAAAGTAGATTCTACATCTTATTTTAAGAAGCTCAGGGAAGGATTTATTTGTTTGTCTCAAAAATGGGTTTGTTTATAGTAAAAAAACAAAAACAAAACCCAACAATTATGTTTAGTTTTTGCATTCCTAAACCATCAGTGTTTGACTTAATATTGGAGACAAAATCAGCTTTCTGCTACATATTTTTATGTAGCATTCATGTCATGTTCAGAATAAAGCTTTAAGTAGTTGTGCTTGAAAAAAAATAATTCTAGAAATGTGGATAAAAATATGGAAGAATTCAGTGTTAATTCTTTAAAGTATGAACCTGGTAAATTCACAGATGGATACTTGTCAGTCAGTGGCCAATTTATCTGCCAGTTTTACTTGCAAGCAGGTTAGAGACAAGATAAAGTGCTTGTTTATTCTTTTCTTTATAATTGTGTTGATGTTATGTAAAACTAATTTTTTAACTTCATGAAAAAAATCTAGTCAAAGGTTTGACTTTTGCCTTCATTTTAGTCAAGAAACTTGATATACAGTTCTATGTATCACTAACCTTTTTGAGCTCTGATTAGAAAACATCCCCAACAGTGCTGAGGAAAACAAAGTAGCATGCCCTACATATCTTGTAGTTATTCTCAGCAAAGGCCTCAACATTCTAATTTTAAAAATTTCAGAAAATAATGAAGAACCATGTTATTATATTTTAATATGTCACAGAATCAAAGAACACCAGGTAGGAAGGGAACCTCAGGGATCATCTGGTCCAACCTTTTTAGGCAAAAATGCCAGTCCAGACGAAATGGCCCAGCACCCTGTCCAACTGAATCTTAACTGTACAATCCACCAGTTCCTTGGGGTGTTTCAAATGATGTTTTTTCTCATTTTGAAAAATTATCATTTTGTGTCTAATTGGAATATCCACAGAAGAAACTTGTACCCATTATCCCTCATCTTTTCCATATGACTCCTTGCCAGTGTTTAAAAAAAATAATTATGGTATATAGACACAAACGTTAAAGGGAAGCTTTATTTTTCAACTGATGAACTTCCCACTTATTTTTCAGACATGAAGTATTACATAAAGAAACTTCTCTGTCTACATGATCTCAAACCATGGATCCTGTCATTTAGTTCTCTGTTTTCATAAAATGATGATCAAGCACATTGAAAGCACAAGCAGAATTTGAAACAGATTTTCTTCATGAGTTTCCCCAATAAATAAGTAAAGAAAGAAAAAATATTTTCAAATATCAAATTAACTCAAAGCTTCCACATTTTGAAAACAATCTAATGTAATCATCAAAGGATGAGATGCAGTCATGTCTTCTTAGTGACATTTACATTCCAGCTAAGTTTCACCTTAAGACACTCACAGGTCTATCAAGGCAAGGCAGAAAAACAGTGTGTAACAGTGAATGATACATCTGACTTATCCTAGGGAGTTAAGATGAGACAAATTTCTCTGGTAAGGTCCCTTTTGCTCTTTATTGGGTATAAAGAAAAACTGGAGTTGCTAGCAGCTACCTTTGGATACCCAAGTTACAGCAAATCAATCTAACCATAGGCCAAAACTGACGGGCGAAAAATTATGTTTTGTTCCCATTAGCTAGTGCAAAATTCTTTTTTTTTTCCTTAGAACTTTGCTGTTTTAAAATAGGAAATATATGCTGAATATTTTAATTGGTAGTAAGCATTTTTCCTAAAGTCGCAACTATAAATGACACAATAAAATCATTCCTTTCTTGAGCAATTATATGTTATGATCTAACAATAAAACATGAAAGGAGAACTACTGGATATAGTATTATACTATGAAAGAGACAGCTAAGAAACTATCTTGCAGAATACTGAAAACAGTGAAAGAAAAATGCAAAAATAGAATGTGCATGATGTTCCATATTTAGCTTTGTGGGTTGGCTCTGAAATCTCCTTTTGAGCTGTCTTTGATAATCATTGGTAAGACCAAATTCTGAGGCAACAGTAGGGCATTCTCCACAATATTTTTATGTGAGGACTTAAACCAGCCAGTATTCAAAGCTAATCCATATTTATTATAGTTCTCTACATAAACACTTTTTTTTTTACTTTTGTTAATGGAGACCAGACCTGATCAAAACATATAATTCCACATCATTATTTTCAATATGTCTCCAATTTCATTTTTAATATTAATGCTTGCTAAAAGCCCTGCAAGGCAGACCTCTTTTGAAGACTCTCCCACTGTTAACATAATAGAGAATTTCATTTGTCTCAAAAAATTATTTCAAAGTGAAACTTTCTCATACCTCCCTGTATGTGAGCAGTTTTCCAGCTACACGCTATCAGTGCATCTGCAGTGAATCATACAGAATATCATTTTAAAGAGAGAAGAAATACTGGACATGTGATGTATATTCAGATACTGTATTCCAATTTTAGCATCAGTGCTTTCTTCAACAGCATTAAAAATCACACAGGAGCAGTCACATTAGCCTCCCAGTGGCATAAGACCTTTGAGGCTTGCTTGCTGCATTTTTTTAAAGTTTTAAGGAATAAAAAGTGAGGAAAAAAGAATGCTGTTTCACTGCTGATTCTGTAATCACATGAAGAATATAACAGTACCATGCCCTTAACATTCAACTGCCTATCAAGGTAAAACAAAAGCGGAATTTCCAATGGAAAAAAAATGTAATTGTGATATCTATACTATTAGTCAGTTCAACCCTTTGGTTGAATTTCAATGCTATTGCCATTGTGAGCTGGGACAACATGAACATTTATTCTATAGAGTTTTATGGTTTCTTGGGGTTTTTTTATGAGACACCACTCTTGTATTGGCAGAAACTGATTGAATAGATTTTTGCTTCTTACCATCAACACACGCTGGCCTTGCTCTTGTTGTACCGGCAATCTGTCCTTTTTTACATGCACAGCGAGCTGTTTGTCGGGCTATAGTCCTTCGGGGCTGACTGCTATCTCTGTCCAAAGTAACAATCTCACATGTACCTGCAGCCAGCTGACCTGGAAAAAAAACCAGCAACAGGTACCAGAGTCACTGAATGCACTACAGGAAATCTATTACAGCCAAATAGAGCCACGGCCCTAAGTCACAGCAGACACTGCACAACGAATGGGCAGCCAGCCGATGGATATAATAAAACTGAGATGACATACAATTTTTCTTTGTGGTGGACATATGAAAACCCTGCACACTGGTTCTGTCAGAAAATTATTATTGTTCTGTAAAAGCCAGAGAGTTGAGGTTACACAGGTTACTTTTACTTATGTTGGCTAAGTAAAGGAACAAACTTTCATGACAATGAAAGTGTATACATACTTCCAGAAAAGAAATTATAAAGAATACAAAAGCAAATAAAAACTTCCCCAAATTTCCATGAATACAATAAAGTCCTAAGTGCTTTGTGTGTTGCTTTTGAAGGAAAAAGCCTTTCAAAGCATGCCCACATTTGACAAACTGTCAGTCCTTTGGCTCTTGCTTCATCTAAATTGAAAGGTAATTAATTCTCTTCCTGACTTATATTTGATGTAGCTGTTATTTTCTTTTCTTTTTTCTTTTACTAAATTTACTATGTAACTGTCAAACGGCTTGAATGACACCACCCCCTTAGCTCAGTAATTACTTCCTTTTAATTGACTTTTCCAATATAGGTAGCTTTTACTAAATACTAAATAAATCCACACCACCTAATTCTGAATTTGGACTATACTATGAGAAAAAAACCCAAAAAGTTAAAAAAAATATTTTATAAAGAACATTACTTTGAAGTTAATGTTACACTTTTAAAGCAATGCACTTCCTCATGTAGAATCAATAATAGCCTAGTAGTATACCAAAATACTACCTTTTACAGGTAGGAAAGATACATTCTTGAATTTCAATGTATAGAAAGACCAAAAACAAATTCCCAACTACCACTTTGCATTACATATAATTTCTAGTGTTTATAGTGCAGTAGTAAACATGTGCAACACCATCTGCAAATCACAAGCTTTCCATGTTTTAGTTTTTATTAAAACAAAAAACAAAACAAAACCAAAAACAAAAAACCAAGAAAAAATTCTTATTGTTTTTAGAAAAAAATGCAGTTTAAATAACATTGACACTAAATCATTTTATGCTGAAGAAATAAAAAGAGAAAAAAGCAAAAATTCTATTTTAATATCAAAACTAAAAAAATAAAACCAAGTCAACCTGAAATATATATGAATGGACTTTAAGTCAAAAGGTGCAATGCTATTTTTCTGTACTCCTTTCTTTTTTTCATTCAGAATACAAGTTTACCCAGTCTATTCTTCTCAGAAGCATAGCATTCCTCTCTTTCTCTTAAAATGCTTGTTGTGTGGAACAGCAAAATATTGCAGACTGTCACCAGCATTGTGTCTCGTTCTCTGCTAAGGCACCTGAATTTTATGTTTCTGTGACTCTTACACTGAAGTGAATTACAAAATGGCAAAAACAAAGATCTCAAGGATGGGTATGGAACAAGGTACTACAAATTCATGCAAATATATGATATATGTAAATAATATACATTAGGCTTACACTTATAAACACATATATTATATTCACAGTAGTGAACATTATCACCCCGGTATTTAATGGCTGCTGGCAACTAGACTCATGAGCTATGGTCAGTCCTGCGTTTCTACTCTTTTCCACCCAGTCTGTTAGTAAAAACATCTGAGGATAAACATATTAATTAGAGGACTTTTACTCTGTTATATGCTGCTTTTTTATTTTGTTCATTCAAAAACACTGGATTAGATGCAAAGCTTTAGCAAGAAAGATAGTAGCACATAATTTTCTAGAAAAAGACAAGGCAGATCCAGCTACACTCAAACATGTGGAACTGGAAAAAAAAAAAAAAAAAAAAACCAAATCATTTGCTAATATGTTTCATTCAGGATTGTAGGAGATGTATTGCTCCTAAGGAATATAGCTGTCTTGGTAGATCATGTAAAAAAAAAAAAGGATAATCAGAAGTGTATTTAGATCCTGATGCCTTAGGCCACAAAAAAGTGGAAGCACAAATAAGGCATGTAAGTGTACAGGTTTCCATACTCTCTACTATTTCTTTCATTAAAAGCTATGATAAATCATACAATGTAGGCAAATAATTGTATAAACTCTCATTTCAGAGGAAAGGAACCAGACTTACAGCACAGTGAAGGCAAATAATGACTACACTCAGAGAATAAAAACAATGAAGCTCTACGTCAAAATAATTTGTGAAGGCAATGAGTTTTCCAGAGACTGCAAGCAATGAGTATCAATAAGAACAGCTAATGGTATTTTCTGCTTTTGAACCTGTAGAATTTTAGTTCTGCTCTGGTTTTTAGAAATGATAATTTCTTCCAGGCATAGTGACCTAATTTTCTTTATGAATTTTTTTATTTATGAAATCTAGGATACATACACAAGAGCAATTGCTATACAATTTTGTCTGTTGCTTTTCTTTTTTTCTATAGCAGAAGAAAATTGTAAGCTGTTGTAGAGCTACAAGAGCTCTTACATATATGACATAAATATTTGCTCCTGATTGTGTCACAGGCTGCAAAGATTGCAAGCATTTTGAACACTGTAGCAGAGAATACACCCAGTGCTACTTGGTTTTAGATGGCTGTAAAGCATGAAATGTTTTAGTTAAGGTTATGGAAGGCCATCTCCAGAGAAAGAGTCATCCTGTGTAAAACATGTCCTCTCTGTCTTTCATTAGGTAGAAGATAAGTCTACAGGAGTGCACTTAGATGACGTGTGCTACATTGGCTTTTTAATTTAATCTAGAAATATAAGGTACAAAGTAATAGAACTAAATGAATATGCTTTTTGCAAGTACTGAATTGCAAAAATTAGGATACCTTTCATTTTCAGGGAAGTTAACACAGTGACCTCTTTCAGAGATGTTAATGAAAAAAGGCTGTTCCTTGGTGAGCCTCTGAACATGCTCCACTTCACTCCTAAAGCCAGAGAAGAAATCTCAAGGCAGAATGGCTGAAGTTTCACTGGAGGTTTTCCAGCTGAGAGATTAGGTGCCACAGTCCATGAACAGTCATAAAGGCTCCACACTTTCATTATATTTTCTTTATGTACTTGCAACATACAAAGCAACTCATCTCCCTCTAACCTAAACAAAATAATCTTGGTGGAAAAAATTAAAAGCATCATTAAAGAATAGAGTCATACTAGCTTTGTCTAAAAGTTTTCTTCCAAGAAAATTTTTACTGTTTTATAAACCAAACATGATGATTATTTCAGAAGTATCATAAAACTGGAGCTTTCCAAGATAATTAGTAGATTTTTTTTGTTGTTCTTACTGTTATTATATAGATATGTATATGCAAATATATTAAATATTTATTTTATAATTTTAATCCAATAATTAAGACCTCACTGGCAATTTGTTTGATTTTGTGTTGTCACCATCTGGTTACTAAACAGAGAAAAGTTTCAGTTCTTTAATGCTCTTTTATAGTGTAGCACTGCATTCTTAAAATGCCAGTAGATTTCTCTCCACTCTCTCCCATCACAAACACAAATGCTTCTATATGGAATTATTTCAGAAAAAGGGAAAAAACACAGGATTCTGAATAAAAAAATGCAATCAGAGTAAACAAAAATAAAAAAATGAACAACTTTTAGAATTTTAAGTAAAACAAGACTGTGCTCTTGGCTTGTATCTTGAAAATGTTTACAGTAACTGCTGTATACATCACTTTTCTGGGTCTTTTTCTAAATGAGGTCTGCTTGTGATCAGTCCTCAAACTGCTCTTTGCAAGACTTACATGGAAGTGTAGGAATCATGAAAAGCTCAAAAACAAAAGGCATTATTCATGTTTACCACTAAGACTCTTCTGTAAACTAAATGTTATTGTTGAAAGAACAAAGATTTTGAAAGATCTATATTTTCTGCAATAGTTAAAAGCCTTAAATGATGGATATATTTGTATTACATGGAGGGTACTTGGGATAATATTTTAATTTTCTGTGGCTAAAAATATTTCTGTTATTCAATGGGAAATAAAAATCTAAATAATCCACATTAACTACAGCAATCAAGTTACAGATTTTTTAAAAATTTATGCTTATTGCAAAGCTGAAGGTTTTACCTTTAATCCATTTAAAGAAACAAAATCAAATTATGAACTAATGGAATCTGCAGGTATAGTGAAAGTAAGTCTTGATCTAAATATACAGACTTTTCCAGGGGTTTAGATTTCATGTTCATCCAGAAAACCTACTTGTGATTTGTACATGCAGGCTTATATTATAGTTTCAGTGAACAATTTTTCCATGCATCACCAATTTGATGCCTAGCAACACAAGCTCTTTTAGTTTAAAATGCATTAAGTTAGATGGTATTAAAATTCTTGGCTGGATTCAGATATGCTTTTGTCAGTGAACACAATGCAGGAGTTGTTTCAAAATCAGATCATAGGAATACATTCAGTAGTTTTCTATTACAATATTGAAGTTTTTCTGACAACAGAGCCATGCCAACTCCTGAGCAGAGCTGAGGATCAACAATTCCTACAGAAGTAAGGGGGAACTGAAGTACTTAGTGTCACTCATTATCTGCATTTTGACATTAACCTGAGTAACAAATACTTAAAAATAATTCAATTTAAAATATAAAAAGCATATGGGTAAGGGGAACTCAATTTTTTGTCATATATGCTTGCTTCCTCAAAGAAAATGTCCTGAAAGATCTCTTACACTGGACATGATCCAATTCCAGACAGTCCAATTACCTTTTCTTTTTAAACTTTAGTTCATAATGAGGGAGATTTTGCAAGGAATTGGTTTGCCTCAAAGAACTACATTCATGTTTAAACTGCAATAGTAGAATTTGTGAAAATCCAACTAGCATTAAATAAGAAACAACAGCTTCTACAATGTTTCTGGGGGGAAAAATGTATTTAAAATAAAGTAATAAAGTAAATTAGAGTAGAATTGGCACAGCAAGTATGGGGAAAAGTTTTTCAAATCAATCAGCAGCATT